TTAATTGATCATGAAGTAAAGTATTTTGAAATTAACTCGCAACAGAATCACATTACTTACATTAATTTACTATTTCCTCCACTTTAAAGACAGAAAATAAGTTAAAAGAAGTAATTGAAATTCTATGCTCTATGTCCGTAAGAAACTCTTTCACTTGTAATTCTTTCTATCAATTTGTTTTTTCCCTCTAAAAAGTAAATAACTCATCTTGTAGGGAAAATTCATATAAATAGTCTTTAAAACGCGGAGGTTGATACTCGATTGAGTTTAAAACATTTTCAGCATCTGAATTCTGTTCAAAACAGTGGGGGTGGGGGGGGGGGGGAAGTAAATATTGAGCGCGTTTAAAAATTGCAAGCGACAGAGATAACGTTTCTCATTTCTAAGAATGTCTACCTGTCAGTTAAGAGCCCTTCATGTGCCAACATTGGCATGGTTGATTTGGAAAGGTTAGACAAGCATCCACTTGACAAGTACTAAGCAAAACGTTGTTTCTTTAATCCATTTGCAAAAGAAATTTCGCAAACAAGAGGATATTTCCACAAACACAATAGTATTAATAAAGACGCTGGAGAAGCTAAAACTCTTTCTAAGGAATTTCTTTAATACTTTGATCATAAGTCAATAGGTGCTTTTAATAACTCACAAGCCATGCAAATACTAGAAAGAATATGTAAAGCGTATCTTTCCAGCATTTGAACAAATGGAATGCCTTTAAAAGCTGTGGTTTCATATTTAAGAAAACATACTTAGAAAAATATGTACAAAGTAAGTTGTTCCTCCTCATTTAAAAATATCTAATGTTTGTTCAACAATTTTTTCACCTTTCTGCGAAATTATTTTAACAATAAGGTAATCGAAAGTGGCGAGTTAGATTGCCATTTCGTAACGCCTAATTTATTATTTTATTTATTAAATCAAAGTTTCAAGTGAACATTCATTCGGACAAATGGCGTAAATTAATACATTCTAAAAATCTCTCTTAAAGTAAAGTAAAGGACATTTTGTTAGAGATATAGGTGTTAAATTACAAATCAATTAAAACCATTGTGCGCATTTACAATTCATTATGAATACGAATGAATTCAAGAAACTGCAATGAGGCATGACGCATTGAAGCGCGTTTATTCAAACCACCGCTACATATCAAACGCAAGACCAATAAAATATTTTTTCTAAAACGCAAATCAAAAGCGATTTCTCCAGTTCCCCGCACTGTACAAAAACCCTCATTGTCCATGTCATTCGCACACTCTTATTTGACCTCAGAGGTATAAATGCCAACCTGGTTTATTGGAGCTCGAAAAAATCAATTGAAGACGTTGCTATTCCTGAAAGTAATTAGAACGTGTTATGACTCGCGAAGTCAAGGACGAACTTTTAAATTCAATTTATCTCACAAATTCAGCCAACATTATCAATTGTTCTTATCACTTGAAAAGAAGTTTAAGTTAATGGGGTATTTATTGTTGCTTTCATTTATCATTCATCTTTGATTAATTTTGCCAAAAATATATTTGTAGTCACGTAAAATTAGTCTTGACGATTGTATGTTTAATTTGCTTTTTCTTAACTTGTGATAAATCACGCTAAATTAAAGGTATAGAAATAAATTAATAAAATTATTCATTTATTTTCATTTCATTCTGACTAATAGTCTTATTTTGATATTCTTTTCAGCTAAATTTAGTGAAATAACCGAATCTATGAAGAGAGAAGAGAATAAATGAACCTGTTTTTTTAGGAATGAAAAATCTATTTTGGCTACTACATTAATTCTATCAAAGTAGATATTGCAATTCGGAAATATCCAAACGGGAACGTTTTAAATAGAATTTCAAATTAATTGGGTTGAAGGTAGATCTAATCAGTTAATGGAGTTCAGAAATCTTTGTTAGCGAAGTCATCTATAGACCCAGAACATTGAACGGCAAATCTTTCACGACTTATTGGAGGGGTTTCCTGTGACAGGGGAATAGCGTAATTTGACGTGTTGCAATTGATATGACGTGTAGGGGTCAAAATGATCGGTCAGAAATGTTAAATAAGCATAAAACATAGAAGGTGATCCCGTAATTTCTAACTAAATATTAAGAGGATACATCCGACAGCACAGGTCGATTAGAAATCACAAGTTAGACAATTGTTGTCAAAGTTGTATCACTTAATAACAAGTTAAAAATGACCGAAAACTCTTTGGATGCGCATTTATAAGACTATACAAAATGTGCAAAAACATATGGGGAAATCTAGTACTTATTGCAGAAGAGTGCAGGTAACATAAGTTTCGTGAATAAGCAACATATCTAAGATAAATTTTCACACCTGCAAGACTTCAACCAATCAGAACTCACTTTCAATAAGCGCCATAAATTCGCTATTCAAATCACGATCTTCCGCCGCGTCTTTACCCTTCGCCATTAAGAGACGCACAGCATGACGCAATTTATTTCTCGCAGGTATAGGATTATTTTCATTTTCAGATCTTCCGTTAACCCTACCAGTTAATCCGTCTGGACCCTCAGTAGAATCGCCTCCAGGCGTTGAACGTGATGATTGGTCGATTATAATATTTGAAAGAGGACGCGAGCAGAAGGCTTCTAGTATTGGAATACCGATCGAACCACTTAAGGCGGCATCTAGACCAACTTCATTGACCAGCTGAAAACCATAAGCCATTATATATTTTTTTGTAAAAAGCAAAAGTTATTCATAATATATAAAGGTATTTATTAAGCGGCACAAAGAATAGTCCACTCTAATAAATTAAACAAAATTATTAAATTAGTAATACTTTGTGATTAGATATTAATCGGAGGTCTATTATCTGTATTTATCAGAAAAACTCACATAAAAATAATTAACTATAATTAAAAATGTATTTGGATTCAGCTGAATACACTTTCAATAATAAGTAATATTGACATTATAATTGCAGTCTTTATCTCTGAGAAAATTATTGAAAATATATAAAATACATTATAAATATTCTAAACGAAACTGACTTTTTCTATACTTAATTACTGGAGAAACTTCCCATTCAATATTTTTATTTAAGAGTAGTAAATACAGAAAATGACAAATAACAATGTACCGAACGTCCAATAGTTCACATCAAATGCTGCAAGTGAACGTTTCACTTAACGTTACGGACAAATTATGCGTCGAATTTATTAATTTCAAATGTCAGGAGTTTTGGCAGTTATCATTAGTTCATTAGCTGACTTCGGGCTTCGCAGAGGGGAGGAACAGACAAAGTCACAAATAGTCTGTGGGACTGTAGTCACATCCGCTACTGGCGAGTGACATGACAACACAAGGTGCTCTCGGAACACTACGTGACCACGTGCTCAATGCACTGCTTGCAGTATGATTCAGAACACGGGATCTTCTTTTATCGTGGCCACGATGTAGCCATGTCAACATCAGTCTAATAGAATGTATCAGCAATAACCCTTTAACGACATTAGGATCGAATGGTCCTTTTTCAAAATGACCTCAATTACTATCAGACTCATGGGGTGTGCGATAGACTTACCTCCACGTGGTGCACCCTGGGCAACGTATACTCATACGACAAAAAAGTCTAACACCCTGGGCAACGTATACTCATGCGACAAAAAAGTCTAAAATACGGGGTGTGCGATAGACTTACCTCCGTGATATATTTAATGAATGGGGTGTGCGATAGACTTACCTCCACGTTGTGCGAAATAGCAATGTGGGGTGTGCGATAGACTTACCTCCACGTGGTACGCCCTGGGCAATGTATACTCATACGGCAAAAAAGTCTATTAAATGGCTTGGAAACGTGACCTCATACGGCAAAAAGTCTATAAACCGCTGGGCAACGTATACTCATACGATTAACCGGCAGTTGACTTCTGACCTCAAACTACCATCACCCCATTACATTTCGTATTCGAATAATTCCACAGTATTCACCCAATGACCCGACTGTATGTCATATTCGACCCCTTCCACAGTTCTCATATTCTGTATGTCATATTCGACCACTTTCACAGTACTCATCTTTACTTTTTTCTACCTTTGTGTCTGTCTGTCTCTTTTACGTCTTGAATTATTATTCTGTCACCCTCTCGACTTTTTACCACTTGGATGTTCATCTTCCTTCGCTCTCGACTTTTTGCCACTTTGGTGTTCCTCTTCCTTTCTCTGAAGCCTGAAGTCAACTAAAGGGCTAATGATAAATATCAGGACTTTTTACCACTTGGATGTTTATCTTCCTTTCTGTGAACTTTTTGCCACTTTGGTGTTCCTCTTCCTTTTTGTGAAGCAGGGCGCCGGAACTAAAGGGCTAATGATACCCATCATAACGCCTGCCATTTGAAATAAATAAAATAAACTATCAGACTCATAACAGAAGCGGCGCTATTGTTGCTTAAAACGTGCTCAATACGTGTCTATAGCCTTCACTCGATACCACCATCAGTTTGCTGTGAGACACTCGTGAGTGCGGTTGGGTGCATTTTTCAAAAAATAAGTAAATTGGCGTTAAGGGGTTAAATAGCACTCTAGAGTAAAATTATTTTTTTTTATGAATGATCTACTGATCCTCTTAAAGAACAATCGATTCTTGCATTACTTTTGTGATACTTTGAAACCTTGATCAAGGCACGTTTCGAAATGAAGTCGCCTTTTAAGTGCACTAATTTAATGCTTCCATGACAGCACTCAGTGTGTGAGTAACATATTATCAATTCAATGAAGCAATTGGTCTCAACCTCAGATGAAATTCCTTGAAAAAAATTGAACATTTTTATCATCAAAATAATCGAACAGCACTTATGTCTAATTTGCAAGGGTGTCTTGTAACTTGGCTAACTAAATTTAGATAGCAAAAAGTACTGGTAGATACCAAACTTCTCACAAGGGAGTTTTCGTGATAACCCCCCCCCCCTCAACTAAAGTTTAGTGGGGTCGAAATTTTCCTTTAAGGTCATGATTATAGGCATTGGTGAGTTCTGCTTCCTACTGCAAGTTGAACTCCCATTACACTAGCTTATTAAAACACGAGCAAATTCAGACGCAATTTTTCATGATTTATTTTTAAGTTTATGCGTGATACCGCACAATCTTTAATTCTTGATGAGTAAAGGAATAAGGGAAGAGCAAACAAACTCTCCATAATTTCACCCTAATGGCATGGAGCTACGTCTCAAAGGAATTTGAACGACAACAAAAAGAGCAATGTTCTCAACTGTCTGCGAAAGCATGTTGAAAGGAAAACGCGATTAGCCACCACAGTCTTGGACATAGTGATTAAAAAAAGGGCTTCCAGTGACAATTACAAGTAAAGTATAGTCTCGAAAAGACAAGAGGAGTTGAATGTCATAGGATTCAGCTCGAGTATATGAAGAAATGTATTCCTAAAAGCAGTATCATATGCCCTTGGAGTTCTAAAGAGAAGACGAAATTCCCCTGAATCCCACCGACCACAGCTCCCCACTCATCACGTTACCTAATTGCATTGATAACAGATTATGTGACAAGATGCTTGCTAATGGTTAAATTTAAGCGGGCCAAACTAAATATTATACGAAAACGGCATTTAAATTAACTCATATATTTCGCTATTTTCGCTATTTTTGACTACTTATTTATACTTCCATTTTCAGAGCCATATCTACACTTAGTTTATTAAAAGTCAACTTGATATGTGATTTAAAAAAGATGGACTGATTAACTTATTTTAATATATATATATATATATATATATATATATACCAAAAGACCAAATGTCAAACAAAAAGTTTATATTATTACCGCATTGATTAATTAAAAAAGTAAATGCACATTTACCTGTCTCAATAATCGAAGATAAGCGAGATTAGTCCTCTTCTTGACTTCTTTGAATCGACATCCAATCTCAGTCGATGTGGGACTGATCAAATTGCTTTTCCATTGGGGAAGATAGGTCTCCAAACTCTAAAATAAAGTAAAAAAAATCATAATATTTTAATAGTGAAATAAATAAATTACCAGCGTATAGCCATCTATCCAGATTGCAATTGACGATTAAATTAAGCCGAAATGTTGCGGAAACTTGTAAAAACATGTGCAGCTTTAATATTAAAAGAGACACTCGGAACGAAATCGAAACGAATTCAAAACGTTTCTAGGCGTTTGCTAAGTAGTATATAGAACGCTTAGTTTGAAATTCTCACCTGAATATATGCAAAACGTAAATTTGCTCCCAACAAAATGAAAATAATAACTGTTAAACATCTGAAATGAAATTCTCTTGTAAATTTAAAGAATTGAAAATTTTTAGGCGGATTCTTTAAAGCATTTAAATATTTTCATGTATCGATTTCATTTATAATTTGGCCAATTATTTTTGTTTAAAGTTCTGAAACTGCAACACCTGACGATTTATTTTCCATTGAAAGAATGTTTTGTGAAAAGTTTGAAACGAGTGAATAGTTACCTTCATTGTCCTTTTTACCAAATAGGTATCGTAATTTCTTCCGTGAAAATTGTTTTAATTGAAATAGCAGATAAGTAACGTAACTTGGAAAAGAATGTTCTTTTTTATGCAAAAGAAAGAAATATAAGTAATAAAATCTTAGCCAAAAGTTTAAATTTAATTTTCTACTGGAGGATCTCCCATCAAACTAATTTGATTGGCAGACGCCCCTCATTTATCTCTCTTCCTTCAGATTCTCACATTTTTTAACCTTGACAATGTAAAATAAACCGCAATCTTTGTTGGGAGTTATTGATTTTGCACATGCAACGATCGTGGCAAGTACGCGGACACAAAATGGTAGTATGATTTAAAATGAGTGTGTGCACTTAATGATTCATTGAATATCTCCCTCCTTCTACCTTCTGTTTTAATTCCTCTATCGATATTGGGGAAATATTTTAAACATTCGCTAGAGAGATTGCGTAAAAATGATAGCAGAGAGGAAAACAAATTAAGAAATTTTTTCAAGTGGGGGAAGGGGGGCGGTGATTACATCTCCGTGTGAGTTTTCACACAAAAGACTCCCTAACATGTGTAAAGTTTAAACAGAATGGTCAAAATAACCAAGATATGCAGGAACATAACGATTGCTTGTAGAGAAAAAATGACAAAAAATTTTATGCAGAATTCTGAAAAGAATTCTAAACTTTACGACGGTGAACAACAAACACAAGTCAACTCACAGAAGCATAATCGTTGTACGTTTTCGCCATATATGCTGATAGTAATAGAAAATGCTCATACAAAATAGAAATTCAACTCAGTTTGAGAGGTCAACTGATTTTGATTAACATTAGCGCACTGAATGTTGCAGACCGTTTAAAAGTTCTAGATTTTTCGCATAAATCTTCACTAATTTCTAGAAGGACACATGGATGTGCAATTAGTAGATGGCAATGAGTTAGTAAATCTCGGCTTAAATGAAACTAATGTTCTGTAGTTTTGAAGGCTGGAGGTAAAAGGTCATGGGTGAGACCTTTCATGCACAACTTATGCAGGATGATTTCTCATTTTTATGTGGTATAGTTTAAAAAATGTTGAGTTTTAGACATTACAATTAATAAATATAGAGAAATTGAAGAAATATTTCTTTTAAAAAATTTTGGTTTTCGATTTCAATTTGATCATTTTTTTGATTCAAACATCTTCAGGAAACGTGGGAATTTCATTTCTATTGAACGGTCATTTCTTTTATAACAATGGGGGACTTTCATGAATGGAGGCTTTAATTCTCTTCTAGCTGATGTCCAAAATTGTTTGACTTTAAAGAATGGGCAGTCGCACCATGTCCAACTTTCTTCCAGCGGAGGGTGTGGCTGCTGTGAGGCAGTAGTTACAGCTTTGAAGCCAGCTAAAACAGTGTAAGCTAATATCGGGCTCGTTAGGTTGTGCTTCGACAAGATGACCAGGCACGTCAGTGCTTACTCATCAAAGACAAGTGAAATATCATGGGTCCATAGTTCATTTATTTAACTCATGTAATTAAGGTAATTAAACGACCAAATAATTATTTTTTAATAAATTGGGTGTGCGATAGATATACTTCCACGTGGTGCACCCTGGGCGACGTATTTTCATACGGCAAAAAGTCTATAAGCCAGCAGTTGACTTCTGACTTCAAACTACCATGAACCCACTGTATGTCACATTCCACTACTTTCTCAGTACTCATCTTACCTTACCTTTCTCCCTACCTTTGTGGCTGCCTCTCTAACATCTGTGAATCCCTCTTCTGTCCCCTCCCCTTCCCCTCGACTTTTATTGAATTTGTACGTACCTCCCCTCTATGAAGTTCGATGTCAACTAGATGACTAATGACAACTATCAAAAAGTATGACATTTGAAATATTTCAATGAATTTTAACAACATTACTTTACTAAAGTCAAAGCATCGGAGATAGACTATAATTTCGTTATATAAAATAAAAAGACCTAAAAAACACTAAAATCAATACTAAATGACGAAAAATTCCCTTAAACTTGCACTCGATGACAGTGAAAATCTGTAAATATAAGACTATCGAGTTTTTAAGCCATTCCTATTTAAGATATGGACTTTCACTTAAGGTGGTTTGTGAAATATAACAAATGAATGAACGGGGCATGTTTATTGCAAGCACTGGAAGCCTTCTTCAATCACTTCCTGATTACAATAGCTCAACACCATGATTCCAACCCGCCTCCAATCACTGAAATAATAAATAATAACAACAATAATAATAATACTTAGAGTTTTACAGTGTTTGGTTGAAAGGAAGCGCGATTAAATTAGAGAACGATTGGAAAAGTGGAAATGGTGTGATCATAAAATACTAAATGGGCGTTCCCTTCGCAACTACTTATTAATCTAATTTTGGTGGATATGAACGTGGAGTGGATCAATTAATAAGGGGGTAATAGAACTTGATAGAATAAATAAAAGGGCAATTAAATGGAAGGTAAGTGCTAATATCGCGTTTGAGAAGTAACCGAACCCACAAACTGCAAATGCTTAGTCACGCGTTTATTAAAATTAACACAAAATGACGTTTTTAATGTCGAAATGGATCATGGAAAGAACACGGGGTAAAGAACGTGAGTTTTAATAAGTAAATCTCGTCTTTTACCAGCTGATAATTCAGTTACTCACAATAAGCCAGTTGTCCTACTATTCGACTTTGAATCTTCTTCTAGTATCACAGAAGAATTCTAACTGGTCTGAGAAATTTAAATAGGGCAATAATTTGTTTATCCAGATTTAGTTTATTAGGAGCAGAAAATCAAATCCTAGTAATTAAACACTGCCCCAGGGAAAAACACTCAAATCATTCAATTCAACGCAGGTTTCAATTAATTGGGATTAGTACAGATTAGATCATTAAAGTCATCGTATTTTAATTGTTCAAGCAAATGACTCATATAACCCATATTTTAAATACACTTTTAAGAATATATTCTGTGCTTTTAAAAATATTTTCTCAATTAACTTAGAGGCATAAGTCAAGTTAAGCATGAATTTAGTTTCTTGAAAGTTTTGAATAAGGAGGAAATAGGAAATATCTCTAAGAATGAAAGAAGGTCGTTTAAAGCATATTTTATGGTTCATTTTAATTCCACATAATTTTAGAGAAAGGATATTATTAGCAGTAGAGAGAAACCATAAAAAATTTACCTGACAGCGGTTTTCAATTTGATCCAGCATCGATTCGGAGACGTTGTTTTGTTGAAATAGGTTCTGCATTTCGGCAATATTTTCCACCAGCTTTGAAGACGAATCAATCAACCGGTTGCTGCTACTTGTTTTAGATTCAGAAAAGCTGCTCTTTGATGAAGTTGAACGTACGGAAAGTGTCTTTATGCTATCCATTGTTGTCATTGACGAAGAGGCAACCGTTTTTGATGTCTTTATTGACGTTGATTTTGAAGTTGAAGAAGAAGCAGAAGAAGCGACCTGCAAAGAACTTCCATGTCGAGAGGGAAAACGCACATTCTCCAAAGGTGGTGATATAGACTGATAAGAAATGTTCATATCGGCTGAATCGGAGTTTGAAGTTCGATTCACACTGTCTTGAAGACGATTCTTTATCCCTTTGACAACTTTGGCGAAAAAAGTAGATATACTAACTGCAATAGCGAACAGATAATATTTTAGATACAAATCAATTGGGGAGGGGATTGTGCAGTGACCTTGGAAAATTCCCAAGTCCTCTAAAGAAAGATGCTGTTCTGCACGAAATTTGATTGGTTAGAGCTGTGTGTAAATCGTAATGTATGCGGCCAATTAGAGACTGGGGTATCAGCCAATGACCAATCAATGTATTTGCGGGGACAAGAAGATAGAGGGATGCAAATCGGTTGTAGAAACAAGAAAACAATAGTGAACAAAAGCTATTTGATGACTCACCTGGTCTTACAAGAGGATCATTTGGCGTTTGATCACAATCCATTTTGAACTGACTAAAATGTAAATCTCAAGAGAATTAGTGAACAAATTAATCGTTCATGGAATGCAAATGCTTAAATTGGGTCGGTAAAATGCATTATTCGCAAGTTATAAGCTGTTTAAGAGAAAAGGATAAATATCATATATTATTAAGGCGGAAGAAATGTATCTATCATTGGTCAATCTTAGCTATAACAAAACAATAAGAAGTCGGTTTTGAATGAAATAGATATAAAAAATGGTTTTGACGATTAGAGCAAATTATGCAATTAAATTAATATTTATATATCAAACATTGAAACAGTAATAACAATATACTCACTTTCTGTTCACTTGGTCAGAAAACAGTAACAGTTATTAATAATCTAACTTTTAAGGTAGCCAAAACAAGAGTGAATGATAAATACGAGAGTACATTCGTAAACGATCCAAAAATCTAATGCATTATTGTTGATGCACAAAAACATATTTCGACTAATTATTTACCATCAATATAAAGTAAAATATTTGGTGATTTATGCAAATTTACTGACAATTTGTGCTTAAATTTATTCAAATCTTATATTAAGCTTTCTTGATAGTAAAAAGTTCAATTTATCATTATAGACTTTCATAGTATGTAAGGAAAGTTTTCATCAGTATTAATACTGTAAATCCTGGCATTACCATTTATTCAATTTGTATGTTAATGGAATAATTGATTATAACCGTTGGGATAATATTCCGACATATTCTGAATTCTCAACTCGACGTTTTTTTCAGTTCATGCCAGATTCATTTTAAAGACTATTATCTATCTAGTAAAAGTGCGTGAACAAACAATTTGAACTGTGGAGCCAAGTCACGTTATAGTCCAGTTTGTTTATGCTTCGCAGTCGTCTCCTTTCGTAAGATTTGTATATAATTTAAACAGTAGGGTCTGCATCTAAAATTCCTAAAACAATTATTAAGATTAATTTGTATGTGAATAACTAATTTAAATAAACTTAATTCATATTTGTAATAATATCCGTCTTGTTTATATCTTTTCAAGGTCTTGCCCTATATATGATTTAACAAATAGTGGTTGGGCGGAATGTGTGGTGTTTCATTGAGAGTTGCGGAAGAATTCGACAATGTTACGGTTAAATGTGTCATCACGGAGCCTAAATATCTTAATTTTGATCGAAACTTTACATTTTCTGTCGGCTATGGTGACGAATCAAGCATTCCTAAACTTATTGATGACGGTGTTATTGGCTTAGCTTTATATTCTGTCAAAGAAATCACAATTTCCATAAACTCATTAACTGCTGATGAGAAACAGTTTCTTTGCCTCGATGATAATGAAATATCTTGTGTAACTTTTGAACTAAAGTTATTACAATTACAAAAGGTTTTATATTTTGAAAATAAATATTACATTATCTTTAGCTAAAAGAAATATGGGAAATGGCGGAAAATGAAAAAATCTTTGCTGCATCGCAATGCAAAGTCCGTGGAAATAGTCACTTGAAGGTATTTATGGAAATAATAGAATTCAATGTTATTTATCGTATATATATTAATTTTAAATTCTACTTATTTTTTTAATCTCCACGAAGAAAATCACCTTACTGCTCTTAGCAATTTAATCATTATCACGCTTCATTAATTTATTTACCATTTTCTTATGATTTTCGTTTTTCAAGCCTTGTTTTCCTTGTTCCCATTCGTAACTATTAAAGACAGAATAGTTAATGTTATTGCTAATTTATGGAACTAGGTAATGCGATTTATCTATTTAAATGTCCGAATATAATATCTTAAAACGTTAAAAACCGTTTACTAATTAAAGGAAAAGTAAAGTATCTGTCGTACATCTATTTTTTTCGGCATAATTTATTATTAGTTAGTCTCTACTTATTTCGTTTGAGTAGAAAGAAAACTTCTCTCGGGCCTTAAGAGCTTACAAATTGGGCATTCGATGCCTGGAGGGGAGTGTTAGCGTTAAACCCGCCAAAGATGTTTCCATCAGCAAAATCGATCCCGATGCTCAACAACTCTTCTCCAATCTCCTTACAAATGCAGCTCTTTGTCTTCTTAAAATCGCCTCCCTTCCTATGAAGCCTACTACTTTATCCACGGGAAAACCAGTGAGCATTGAGAAGTTGATGCGATCTTGCATAAATCTCTCTGAGAAAGCCTTGGAAATTGATCAGAACAATGCCAAAGCTCTCTACCGAATGGCACAGGTTAGCTTTTATCTAATATTTGGATCTATTTCCAGTAGTTACTGAACATTTCGAGTTCTTTCATTCATTTTGAAGCATTGATGGTTGGACTTCTCTAATTTTCCTTAAAAACTTGCAATTCCCTAGGAAATTTCTTGCTACGCGTCATGCTACTCCGTAAAAGGGAAAATTTATCTGTGTGGTTTAGCTTTTTTACTCTTCCTGTTGAATCTTCACTTCCGTCCGAAGATAATCCTTTGAAGCAGTCCCTGGACAAAGTTTTATCTCGAAGTTTACAGAATTGAGAAACTGTTAACGATAGAATAAAGTGTGTTTTAAAGATTACTGCTATATATAATAGTGGATTTGTCAAATTGGGTTTGGACTTGTTAATTAAAGTCGGTTTTAGTAATTTTTATTAGCTAACTTCTATTCCAGGCCCATGCACTGACGGAAAACTACGACGATGCTATTTCAATTGGCTTAAAAGCGATCTCGGTCCTAAAGTCTAAAGGCTTGAGCCCGGCGGCTGTTGAATTTTCGCTATCGTCCTGGAAAGAGGCTCGACGTGGGCTCAAACTCGAGAAATATGAGCACGTTCATTCTGCCTTTCTCACACGCGCCATTGAGTTGAGAAAACAGGGTCGGCTATTTGCGGTATGTTTTTATTTTTTATATACTTTGTTACAATGGGCATTCCTAGCATTCGAGTGAGAATTCAAAATGGTGTTGGTTGGATGTGTTTTTTTTCTGAGATTTAAGGAGGTTTAAGATTTCGCTGCCATGTGTCTGCAGTGCGTATTCGGTTTGAGGTATATGGAATTGACGTAAAGTGGAGAATGACAGTTGGGGTATCTAGAAGCCTGATTTCATCTGGTTTTATGTTTTAGAAGGGTATGTTGTTGCATGAAGAAGAAAAGTTCTAGAGCTCAAATTCCTTGTGAGAGGCGTCTTCCCACCTCTCCACTTTGATATCACTTGTTTTTTTACTGGCTACTTATAATACTCCATTTGAAATGTAAAAGCAAACTTGCATGCAATATTGTATCGGATTTTTAAATTTCCTTTTTTTATTGCAATCAATCTACCTGACACCACGAGACAATTATTCCCTATTTGGAGCCCTCATTCAACTTTTACACTTTTGTGTGTTAAAACTTGGCAATACACGTGAAATCCACTTTCGGATAATTTTTATAGAATCTGGCACAATAACTCTCAATATATCTACAAAAATCTCATATTCGAATGAGTCGTTCTAAAAAGTTAGCAGAACATACTCCTCCGAGTTAAGAAGGGAAGAAGTCAACTTACTGCACCTCTTAGACCATCTTTACTCATTTCCTTCCTATGGTAGGGCCTTCCATCATGTGAAGCATTCAAATGTGCATTGTTGGTGAAGGCTCATAAAGAGGGAGTACTTTAACAGTTAGACCATTAGAAGTGGGAATCCGAGACTCTTCTGATCCCCTTGTACTTTTAGACGCAAACTACCCTTTGAAGCTGAAATTCTTCAGACTTACCCTTACTTTTCGTTATCTTTTACGTTGTATCAATTTTTCAATCAATTCTGGAGCTGTCCTCTTTTCACGCTTTACGTTTATCGACAGTATTCGTTTGGTCGAATAGTTTAATATATTGCATCTCTACTAGTAAGCGGACACGCTTCAATCATAGGAAATAATCTGAATGGGGG